CGGCGACCGCCGGCGATATTTTCCGGCCGCTGGCGATATTTTCCGGCGACCGGCGACTTTTCCTGCCGAATTTTCTGGCAAACCTCCCGGGCCCCATTTTCCGGCTGCCGTCGGCATTTTATCCGGCCGAAAATGAAATTTTCGACCTCCTAGGGACCGTTTCGAGCCGTTAGAGCCGTCGGAAACCTTATTTTGCAGCGATTCTATCTCCTTCACCTGTTTTTCTTTGATTTTTCACTCTCTTGGAGCTTTATCGAGGTTCATTGCCCGATTTTTCTTACTCTTGGTGTCGAGATTATCGTTTTACAAGGTATTCCACTTAGACCAACTCGACTCATTTGTATTTGAATTAGGCGTGATTTTATTGAGTTGTGGGTGATATATGCTAAGTGTGGGGGAGGTGTATCGGGGGTTTCGATAGCTTATATTGATAATTTGAAGGATTTTGGTGATTGTCTTTCGGTGTTGAGGTTCGTTGGGAGATTTTGTTGATTATTAGAGGCATGTGATGCTCGTGGTGTGTGGTTTTGAAATATTCTTATGTTATTGGGTGTGCAGGTGAGTTGTTGGTTTTATATTGATTCAAGAGGGGCTAGAGGTCCAAATTTTGATCTTTCACGCATACGTGCGTCTACGTCGAGTTTGTGGATTCTCGGTTATTATCTCTCCGAGACGCATACATGTGGCCATTACTCAAAGCCGACGGACGAGATTTTCTTATGCTTTAAAATGTCATAGTGCTCGGTTGGCTCATGGTCGATACGCTTTGATTGTTCAATCATTCGGATGGCTTTGTTGTTCACTCGATGGCTTTCGGATGATTTTTTCTATTCCCACCGGACGAACACCATTAGACACACGATGGTGCACCACCATGTAGAGTACGCGCTTTCTTTTTCCTTCGTTATTTTCTTTTTCTCTTTATTTTTATGTGCTATGTGTTTCTTTTCGTATTCTCGTTTGTATATATTTTTTTTTACTTTGTCGACCGCATGAGCTTGTGTGTCAACGTGCTCTTTCCTATGCTTTTTTGGGTCAAGCAATAAGGACATCGCTTTGTTTTAAGTGTGGGGGAGGGATTTTTGTGATTATGCATGCTTAGGCGTCATTTCTCTTATTTTTGGTGATTATTTTTCGTTTTTGTTGAGTCGTGGACCGGTTTTGTTTGTTTCTATTGTGTTTTGTGTCGATTTCCCCATATGAGAATTGATGTGAGTCCAATAGTGCAAATGACTAAGTGGCTAGTTTGGATTGTCGATCGTTTTCATTATTAACTCTCATGCCTTATGTGCTCAATGATTTTGACGGTTTTCATAAAACGAGATGATTATTTGTTGGCATTGGAACTCATATGTGGATTCACGAAACTTTCTTGTCCTTTGTTCGTTCTTGATTGATGATCTTGGTCATGCTTGTCTTGTGCTTGATGATGTGTAAACGTGTTATGCTATACACTTGAGTTATGTCTTTATTGGATGGTTATGACTATGATATTGTATGTGATGTACTCTTGTGCGCCTTTTCCTTAAAAAAAAGAAGAAATAAAATGTGAGTTCGCGAGGAAGTACGGATTAGGCTCCTCTTATTCCGAGCCACTTCGTGGATTGGGATAATGAGCCTGGGAAACCGATTTAGAAAACTCGAGGAAACCCCTCGAGGTTAAACCTAGATCATCTCGTCCGAAAACTTCATTTGGAAAGAGAAGCTCATGGAAATGAGTTCGTGAGAGTCGAAAGGATTAGGCTCCTCTTGGCTCGGTTAGTCTTCTAGATAAACCGGGTTAAGGAGTACGGGAAACCGGCCTAGAAAACTCGGGGATAACACCCAAGGATAAACCTAGGTAATAATTATCGTAACGGCTCTCATTTGGAAAAAGTAACTCATATAAAAAAAGATAATAATAACATAAAATGAAAAGAAAATGGGGAATTGGTTCATGGTCTCGTTTTTATCATCTTGTATATTGAGTTGACCATTTTTAGTTTTTTGCACGTGTTGTTGTAAAAAGGAAGCTTGACTTGAGTGAATCATGATTGAATAACTTGGGCTTGTTTTTGTTTTGTTGAGTTCATATGTGGGAACGGAACCTTCGGATTCGAGTTGAGTTTTGTGAATAACCGGATGATAATGAGAGTTAATTGATGCATGTTTGTTAATCTTGGATCGTTCGATTTCTCCTTTCGAACTACTTGTTATTTTGTTTGCTTGAGGACAAGCAAAGAGTTAAGTGTGGGGGAGTTGTTTATTGTGTTTTTGTCATTATTTTCGTGTTTTTTGTGTGCTTTATTTTATAGTTTTTAGT